TCATGTGTAAGTGATATTTCAGAACCTTTCAGAGGAAACACCGTTACAGGAATGGATTTATATTTTTCATCACTGTTTCTTGCTTTTAAAAGGAAACAGCTCGGGCCTGCAGGTTAAAAATGGTGAGCTCACAGCACGTCATCAGGTCATGGGTCATGTTTACTCCTGTGAGAGCTGACTGTGCAGACTAAACATGCAGCTCCACCACTGCAGAGTTCTGAACTCTGGGAGAAAGACACACGGAGCCAATCCACTCTGTTCCCTACGCTGGACCAACAGCCCTGTGGGTGGGTGGTTTGGGCTGCACCTGGCCCATCATGGGGTTATAAACACATGGTTTTATTTTTCCACACTAATGATGTCATACTATCAGGATATGATGTCAGAAATGTCAGAGACTGGACAACGAGAGGAAAATCTGCATTTAAGCAGCAGCGTCTAATGAAGTGAGAAAGAAGATCAATAATCAGTCAATAATGCAGAGCGCGGCCTTATCGTGGCTCAGCTCTCATTAGGGTGAATATTTAATAGGAAATAAAACAGGACTGTGTTGATTTGTCTAAATATAATGTGTGTGTTTGCAGGTCCAGGCTTTGTACGGACCAGTTCCTCACTGTGGCGTTGCCCAAGCTCCAAGACTAATCCAATTCACCAGGAGCTGACAGGATACTTAAGCCAATTCCTAGACTTAACTCACAAGCCAACATTTCCAGCCTCTTGCCCTCCACCCTTTTTTAAATCCTTCTTTTTCATTTTGCACTTTTATTGTGAGCCCTGAGACCCCAACCTACATGTTATCAATTTCACCACTAAAAAGTTTAAAACTACTTCATCATACAGTATATCCTTCAGTAACTCAGGCCGAGTCTGTACCTTTAAAAGTCAATAAAAACAGCCCTTATCTTAGCCAGCCCTTATCTTGTTATCCCACAACACAACACATTCACTACATCAGTTACAGGATGTAAACATATCTAAAACTAAATATCTAAAACAGCATGTCATTATTTTTTGCACCAGTCTATCGTCTATCATTTCCTCCAGCTAATAGAGTGTTAGCCACTGGGCACCTTAGGTGTTCACAGTTACAGCTCCAGTTTTTCCTGTAAAACGTTTTATCACTTTCCACAATACCTCCTTTCATCACCAGCAAGTATATTTCTTTCCCTTTCTTTCATCATTAATAGTGTGATTTAATAACAATGCAATCCTGGCAAATCTCACTAATTTGGAAGGTTTGCTTTTATAGAGATTTTTTTTTGTTGCTTACAGCAACTTTAATGCTAACTGTCACCCAGGGAAATCATTTTCCTCTCTGCTTTGGCTCCCCTCTGCACAAAGGGCACACAAGAATTTCAGTCCATAAAATAAAGCTGAGAAATTGCTGTTTATTGCCTTTACGTCAAAGCATTTAAAGGTTCAGTTCACTCCACGGTGGGTTTTATTTTACGTACTGTATGGAAGCTATAAGAAATCATTTACCAGCATAATTGCTGCCAGGTGATGAGCACAGAACTAGTACAGCTCTAACTGTGAACAACTGTTTCTGACTGCCATGTAGGTCCACACTATTGTCAGTGGTTCTCAGACTGTGGTACCACCAGTGGTACACATCTCTGTAGTGGTATGCGGGGAAAATTCATATTTTCACATTGAATAAACCTGAAACATACCATGCATGTAAATGTCTGATTCAGTGTTAAGGTAACAATAAATAACCATCATAATGAATAAACATCTCTCCTGTGGTGGAAGCTAACAGGGAACATCTGGTGGTACTCAGAGAGCTCCATGTTTTCTCAGGTGGTACAGAGTAGAAAAAGCTGGAGAACCACTGGTCTAGGTGGTTACTGAAAATCATGTGAGTGGCCCCTCATGTATAATCTGGTCTTGAATGTCTCCCAATACTGCATGAAGAGATCATCACATCACTGGACAGTAGACACTCTTGATACCAACGTGTGTGTGTGTGTGTGTGTGTGTGTAGCGAGCCAAGAGACTGAAATAGGAACAAGCTTGTGGCTTCTAGTGCAGAATTAGTCAGCTTTAGGTGATTGAACTCAAAGTAGTGTTGCTTTTTTTAAACAGTGGGCGAGACTCTGCTAGTTCAACTGTAGGTAACCACAAACCTGAGAAAAGATTGCTTCCGAACAGCCCTTAAAAAATGAAAAGCATCTTGTTTTCTTCAACAACTACGTTGGTATAACATGGTAAAAAGGGAACTCACGTGGTGAGCAGCCAGCGGGACTGCTTGGCCAGGCCGAGGCAGGCCAACAGGCAGATGATGAGGTCCAGGATGAGGAGCAGCAGGTAGGTGAGCCATCTACACAGACGGACAGAGGCAGAAAACTGAAGCCCGGCTGAAACAGATTTGTTAACAGTGCTTTTGACAACAGTACCAGCACCCTGGGTTTATGGATGAAGTTTTACTCTCTGTATAATTCAATGGAGCATAACAATTGCCCTGACAGCACCTCCCCCACCCCCAAAGAGGAGGAATTAGCCCAATAAATTACCTCTAAATCTCAATAAATAACTGCTATACTCATTCCTATTAAAAAAAAAAAAAAACTCAAATATTCAAGGTCTATTTTCATTGATTAACAAGAAATAAAGCCACTGAACCAAGAGTTTCCACTGGGCTACATGTTAAGAAAATCAAACTTTAATTAATAAGAAATCGTAGGAGCATTGAAAGGTTAATTAATTATTAGTAGAGCTAAGGTTTACTGAATTTAATTTTCAAAGAAAGTTTTCTACAGGTGTGTTTCAGCAACTCTTTTGAAAAACTGCCACATAAACCTTTAATAGACATACACTGTATTTTATTGTGTGTTAGTGAATTATCCCACTCTCACTGTGAACAGGTATGCAGAGTACTGTGGAGACAGCAGTGACATAAACTAAACAGAACACACACACATACACACACACACACCAACTCTGAGACGTGAGTGAGTTGTCTGACTGTCAGCTATTGGTCACCCTGCTCTATTACAGTGTTGAATTGTGCAGCAGCTGAGTCACATGACAAATCAATACACAGGAGCCAGACGACAAAGGAACCATCGTCCAGTTACAGCAGTACTGGTACTTTGAATGGACTAATACACTGTCATTGGTGTATTTCTGCTCCACGGTAACGAGCCTCATCATTATGTGACAAGGACGTTGATGGTGTTTCTCAGGGTTATTTTGTTTTAGCATCGTTTCGAGAAGAGATTTCTCGAAGAAACACATACTTTAACACAAAAGATTCATGTTTGAATCTCTTTTCATTCATCAGAAGCTTTTTTAATAAAAATATAAAACTGTACTAAAATGTACATATTGGGGATTGAAGACACTAAATTATTTTCACATACAAGTGGACTACCTTTACAACGTGGCGTGCAGTAAACTTCATCACCAGCCCACATTTCCCCTGCTCCTCACCTGTAGTACTCCACGTTGGCCGTTTGGTCAGCCACAGATGCCAGGTCCACTTTAGCCTCTGCCCAGTCCGGCAGACCCAGCAGCTGTTTGATGACATTGTCTGCCATCTGCTGCATGAACTGCAGAGTCTGAACGTAGTCGCCCCGTGTGGCAAAGATCTCGTCCAGTCTGGCAAGATGTTGGTGCAGGCCGGTTCTCATGCTGCCCATGGTGCCACTTACCTGATAGAGTGACATTACATTAGTACTACAGCAGTCTCTCACATGCTACAGAGTAATGGAGTGGCTCAGGATATGATATCAAACTAATGTTTCACAAAGTCTACACAAACCCCGTCTTTTGGACCTATTGGTAAACTTTCTGAAAATGGGGGAATATTGACTCTGTAAGATGGTAATGCACTTTAACCAAGAAAAAACATTTACATCTGTCAACTATTTACGATTCTTTTTTAGTCAGTCATGCATTTCTGGTCAAAATACACTACGAAAAAAAAAAAGAAACCAGAAACTTTTCTTAACCCGAGCCTGATCTGTGCTGTCAATCATCAGCAGAGAGTAGGCGAGCAGGAATAATGAGTGTTGATATCTGTGAAGAAGTCCATTTGGAGCTCTCACCCTGGCAAACAGCCAAATCTGAAGAGGCCCTAGGTGAAACTGATGTATTTGGTTGAACGTTTCTCCTTTCACAAGTGAAGCCCCTGTTTTTTTTTGTCACCCTTGAGAAATTCCTTATTAATAAAAGAGACGATAAATCAAACTGTTTCAGCCATGAAATCGTGAAGATAATTTGTTCCACAAGGGAACAAGAGATACTATCAGCCCAGACAAATTCAGAGGAAATGACTCGTTCATTTTCATACAACAGATTTTTGCCTGATTGGCCAAACACTATGAGAACACATCGTACAGTATGAGCAGAGTGAACACCCTCTGTGATTAATTATTAAAGGAGGAATTGTTTAAATGGACTGGTAAATCCTGGTATTTGATAATTAAAATGGGGAATAAATGCACTCATTCAGCTTTGGCTACTTGACATTCACAGGAGAGACAAGTCATATTGTTGCTGTGTTTGTCCGGGACTGAGAGGTTGTGTGAAAGTAATTTTGTGGCTTTGCATTCAAGCCGCAGACCCCATTAGACAGGCCCATGGAAAAGCAAGAGAAAGGAGTAAAAGGAGGTGAAGAGCGAGAAAAGCCTAACGACTGACTGAGATCCATCTTCTACATTCACAAATATGCTTTCACACATCATTCATTAGGGCTCTCAGACTTAAAAGCCAATTTGCTCCAGTGAGACATGGGAGGTATTCCTTACCTAGAGCACATTTGACATTTTGATTAAAACCTCGTATGCAGTTATTTCTGTAGCCTTATTCCATTTTTTATACTTTTTAAAAGTTAAAGTACCAAAAAAAGTTAAAGTAATTTGGTAGAACTCGTGCCAATGGCAGTCAAAGTGTAAAAGGTTATTAAAGTAAGGGTTAAATGAGTCCATTTAAAAAACTAAACCAAGTCAGATTTTCAAACCTGACAAAGAAGGTTGAACAAAAAACTAAATATTTATTCCGTGGCACTCTCTACTTTCCTCTCCAACTTATTGATGCCAGAGGTCAGAGAAAAGGTTCCAAACTTCTAGAGTGGAGTAGACAGACAGGCAACAGTAATAACCCCTGGTTAAAACGTAGGTGTGAATGCACAGCATGTCACTTCCTGGAGAGGATGCTGAACATCCTCAAGCTACAGCACAGAAGAGCATACCAGGTGACACTTCTGTCAGCTACGAACAGGAAACTGAGGATGCATTCCCAAAAGGCTTCACTGTCATTGATTCCACTATAGATGTGTAACAACTGCCAAGTGCTGTATGCTGCCTGGAAAGGATTTTTAACATGTTTTTAGATCAGCTCCAAAATTGAGAATTTGGTTATTTTCATCAACCATCTTATCCCAACAGGGACATCTGACTGGTATTACATGCAGGCCTGCATACAGGTCATCACAAGGGGAAAAACCATGCAGTGTCAGCCACTGGAGTCAGGCATACACACAGGCCTGTGGTGTGTTATCTATTTACTCATCAATGCAGCTTCTTTCACAGACAGAGAAGATTAGAATTGCAGAGGCAGAACTGAGGCATGTATCTGATCATCGCCTCCTGTGTGAGAATCTTATCTAAAATGCTCAGGGAGGCGGCCCAATCCCACTAATCTGGCTTTCTTCAGTCACTGTTTAAAGTGATTCATACTGATCACAAAGATATGACTCCCAGACGCCCCCTGTCTTTATCTTAGCCTGATATTTCCAGGGCATAGGGAACAGTTCTAGGCCTCAAATACACACACCAAATACACACAATGTGCAGCTGAATCTCAGTTTTATTGGGAGGTATGGATGTAAACTTTACACTTCAAATGCAGCCTCCCATTCTTTTGCTCTGCATGAGCCGAAGACCAAAAATCTGACACCAACTGTAACAAAAACCTTAGTGTTTATTAATATCTTTTTAAATTCCGCACTAATGATTGATGGTTAGAAAACAATCTCTCACTGTTGCCTGAACAGGATCCATATCAAAGTTTTTTTCTTTCATCATCGGAGAGTCTGTATCACCAGATCAAAACTGGAAACAGAATCTTTGTTGAAGTTTTGGGGATTACGTTGTGCCCACAATACTGTCTCTCAGGCTGCTAGAGAGTATGAATTCAACTTCCTTCATTAGAGGAGTGGATCGCTATCTTTAAGCTAATAAGTGGCATAAAAAAAGAAACAGCTTCAAAGATGAATCAAACAGATATCAGCTTTAAAAAGAGGCTTTTAATTCCAGACAGAAGTCTTACAACAGGAGCAGCTGTTGTTCATGTCTGTAGGTCTGCTGTTGTGCCTCGAGGATGTTCCACATACAGTATTTGTTTGGGGTTTTTTTTATTAACAAAGGTTATATAAGTTTTATTCATTTAATGTAAATTCAATGTCAGGATTGGCAGCAACATGGTCTCTGAGCTAACTCTATCCTTGAGGTAGTGAGTGAACTTCATTACTTCTGAACAAAGGGAAAATGAGAATAATTCTTGAATTTAATAACTTTATTCCATCTGAAATTAATTCTCTGTGTGGCTGAGTGACAGAGTGAATGTGAGAGCTAGAGCATGAAATGGATGAGTCTGAAGCAGCTGTACAGCTCAGTTTTGAATACCTTCACCGCCAGTTGACAGAGGTCAGATTCTAATACATTTTTTTGTTAGTTTCTACTGCAGAGCAAAAAAGAAAAAGTAAAAAAAATTCAAGGATTTGGCAAAAGTTATTGCCCTAAGTGTTACTTAAACGGAGCAAAGCAGTAGGCAGTGCATAAATACTGCAATACACTACCAGATGAGAGCAGTTCAACAACTATATTAAGGCCTGTTATTTAGTTTTAGATTCTACACAAGGTGGTGGTTTGGCTACGCCGATTAACTCCAGCCGACCCTCAGTATTTTCCCTTCAACTTAAATTTACAAGGCTGCCAATCTAGCTTTACAAGAATCAGGGGCTCAGCAAAAGTGTCCATTAGACAGAGCTCGGCTGAATTACACCCACCAGGGCACGTCTGGACAAATGAAATACAGATGTCCTTTTTTTCCCCTTTTCTGTACATTTGCATCCAAATTTAGCAGTTGGTTGAAGCAAACCACTGAAAACATTAAGGCAGAATGTTTCTTTTATCCTGGAAATAAGTCATGATAATAGATGGCAGAAAAGACAGTTTGGTTTTAAAACTGTCATTACTCTAATAAAAAGGATGACATCTACATCAGATTAGCAGCACTTGAAACTATTGCAGAGTGTTGTTGTGTTTTTTTCCCCCTAAAGTTCCCAAGGTTTTGGGAGGCTCTTTGGAAATGTGACACCCATGGGGAAAAAAAATCTTTTGGGACTTTTGTATTTGCTATCCCATTATTGTGCTCACAATCCCAGAAGCCCTTGAACACAGAGGAAGCCTAGAATGTAAATGGAGGTCCCTCCTCCCCACTTTTCATCCACACAGTCATTAACAATGGCTGCAGATACCCATATGGTTAAACATGCACACACAAACATCTGATTACTTAATGCCACACATTTGGTTAAACACGCACACACAAACATCTGATTACTTAATGAGATGGAAACAAAGGGTTGAATTAAAAAAAAGATACAAGACATAGTTTCAATTGATATGATCCTAATCCTTCTTTGCACAGGTCCCAAGGAAACAGAAATACGTTAAACACTGCCTTAATGTCTAATTCATTTTCAGTAAAGTCAAGTAAAACTGTTTGATCTGCAAAACTAAGTCAAAGGCAAATAAAAGACAATAAGAGATAGCAATAAGAAAATCACAATTACACCATTGCTTGTATTAAAGCAATTCAAACTAATAAAAACACTGCTATTAGACCGATACTATTACCTTTAAAGTACATTTAACAAAAAAAGATATTTCTCCTTCATGCTCTCAACTATTCAGAGCCATATTAAGGAAGGCATCAATAGCGTAGCCCCTGAGGCTCACCAATCAACATTAAAGGGCCAATAAAGACAAATTATTGTGTATAATTACAAAAGGCTTACTGAAAGAATTGAGTAAAAATATGCTTGTTGGTAATTGCGTAGTCGGGCCAACATCCAAATAAGCATTTGGATGCTTCCCAGTGTTCATACAATGTAACAAACATGGACCCAGTCTATCAGGTCCATGTCCACTGGCTGCCAAATCCTCTCACTACGGTCATTCTTCAACAATAAACCAGCTATTATTGAGGCTAATCACTGCAAGTGTTGCATCGGCCTTATTGCACTTCAAATAAAACATGGGCTGCCTCGGTTTTCAGATTCTCCATGCGCTTTTGTTTCTAACATGGCCCTTTATGGTTTTTGTGTACAGACAAATGTTTCTTTTTCTCAATGTAATGTGATGTGACAATGTGAACTTTACTGCTGAACTAATGCCATGATGAAGTCTAGTTCCATAAAACAATTATCATGATCATAATAGCCTGTTGTTATTGTACATCAGTTCCAATACCATCAGCAAAGAAAAGTACAAGTGACGATGAGCTACACGGATGGAGAGCATTGGAAAGCAAATGCTTCTTTGAATGTTTTTGAGTATTTACAGACATACAAACAATCATGGGGGTCTTGTCATGAAGTGGTCAATGTTGCATTGCACTTGCCATATTAACTTGAGCACAAGCAAAGGTTCAATAAAGGCTATTTCTAACTCCTAGGCCACAGGAACTGCACTGTGTTTCACTGTGTTTTTGATCACAACGCCAATACGCTACAGCTAACTTACTAACAACAGAGCTATATGTTGGAATTCTTCTTGGGGAGAAACAAAAAGTCCACACATAATGAGGTTTTCTTCCTCCTTCTCCTCCCTCACACATTGAAGCTAACCCTCTTCGAACTCTCTTGATGCTAGGCTAAAAGGCATTTGTGTGGGCCAAAGGCCATTGGGGCCTACACCGTCAATGGTTTCAATGCCAATTTCAATACCGTCTCTGCCAATCAGAGCGACTCGCATTGCTCTTTGTCTCTTTGCATCAAAGCGCTTTGTTTCCTGGGCTCATGGTTGATTAGGTGGGGGCAGAATGGGAACCGTGTGTCACACACAGGACTCTTTGTCTCACTCCAGAACTAGACTCCTTAACAGTCTATAGCTGCTTGCAATGAACTCACCCGTGCATTCACACACTCAAACACACACACACACACACACACATACAGGCTAGCAAATGCACACATAAGACGCTGAGAGATAAAGGCCACCATGTCCAATTATGCCTTTATGTCTTTCACACATCTCAGAGCAGCACACCAACAAGCTCCGTGATAATGATTTCCTTCCCGTGAATGGGAATAAGTGCTGCTCAGGATTAATAGGACACAACCAGCAAATATGAATATGTACATATTAGGAATGACAGAATATGTCTATACTTGTATGGAATGTAAAATGTATGGAATGTAAAAGTCATTGTGCAGTGGCTGCCTATAGCACCTACAACCATTAGCAGCCAAGAGTTCCTCCACTATCCTCAATAAATCTTTTCATAAAGTGACACTTTACCAGAAAGCTCCGTTGGAATCACAGTTAGTTCTGCCGCCATCATAAAAGTTCAGCGAGCGCTGAATTAAGTGCACACTTAGTCCTGCTGGAGAGTGTTTGTTAGGGAAACTGTAATGAGTCATTTTACAGAGAGTCTCACATACCACCACATTAACACACATCATCACAGATGGAGACTTAATCCCTTCTTTTTAACCGCCCCTCCGCCTCCAGAAATGCCACTGAAAGATCACTGCTGGTCTACCACAGCTGAAACGACAACACTGATGTTTTCTCCAACTGCCACATCCACCAAACAGAAATGAAGAGTGAAATACATGAATAATGTATTGGTCATGAATAATACTTCCCTAAATATACGACGTTAAGACAACACTGAGTTACATCAGTTAAATCTCTGGTTGTACATCGTTGGGCCACTGTGTCAGGTCTACAACTACAAGCCAAACACACCAACAGTCATTTGGTCAATGTCTTATGTGATGTTTGGATTTAATGTAACGAAGTACTACGGTATTTTGTAAAAATTAACCCCCCCAGGGTCTTCAGATAAACAACTTTTGAAGTTTCTGAACAGTTTTTGTAAGTTCTTATTGACTAGTTTTCATACAAGGTTGTCATCTGTCACATTCAGTTTGCACAATATAAACTACTTGGCGACAAGTACAGTTTGAAAAACTGAAAATTAGACATAACTGTTCAGTCTTCAGGCTTGAAGGATGAAGTCACTCTAGTGAGTAGAATTCTATTGAAAAACACTTCTCAGTGGATTCATAAGGTCAGAGAGGTTTTTCCAGGAAAAAGACAAACTCCAAGTTGCTCCAAGCTTTGTGGTGTTGAAATGGAGCATTCTCTGTGTTCTCACTCATTGCCGGAAATGTTTGGGGCCCAAGCGCCGCAGCGCGGCGCAGCAGAGTGGCGCAGCGGAAGCGCGCTGGGCCCATAACCCAGAGGTCGATGGATCGAAACCATCCTCTGCTACTTAATCTTTACTCAAAATGTGTCACAAAGTAAAAAAGTCTTCACATTTTCTCACGAACAATCAGATTCTGTATCACGCCTACAATAAATGGAGCAGAAGATATTAATTACTCCAGAAAGCAGATTTCACCTTGCAGTTCTGATAACAGCGTCCCACTTACGGTCTATAAATACGACACTGCTGCTTTCAAAGACTTACCAACTAAATTTGACAGTTCTGCGTGATCCAGACCAAAACATTACAGTGGAAGTTGAGCTCATTTAACTGAGATTAACACTGGGCAAAGACCCCGCCATTAGTGTGACGTGCAACAGTGATTTGAGCCCTTTATGTGTTGAGCATGCTTGAAAGTGAGGTGGATAAAAATAGACATGTTGTAGTGAACTAGAAAAGAGCACAGGAAAAAACGCATTGTTCATATCTGCTGAAGCCACTGAGGCTGAGAGGTGGAGCTCTGGGAGGGAGAGCGAGAGAGAGAGAGAGAGCGATGGAGTGGCGGGGGGGGGGAGGGGGGGGGGGGGGGGAGGGGGGGAGGGGGGGGGGCGGGGTGAGCCCCAAACGCATTGTTCATATCTGCTGAAGCCACTGAGGCTGAGAGGTGGAGCTCTGGGAGGGAGAGCGAGAGAGAGAGAGAGAGAGAAAGAGAGAGAAAGAATGTATGGGGGGGGGGAAATAGATGTTTTTAGGCTAAGAAAACATGCCTCTGGGCTTTCTACCTCAGGTGTGTGTTTCCACAGCCAAAAATATTTTAAAAAATCTGGCTGCATTTTCTCTTCTGTAATCAGTTTGGATTGTGAAATATGAATGAGAGACAGCATGACTTTGTGTTGTGCTTCTGTTTTATAAAGACCAACAGCATCCATACTAATCTAAAGACCTGCAGTGTGTGTGTGAGGGCACGTTTGTGTGAGTGGGAGGAATTCATTGAGTTACATTAATGCAGCGGTTTCCAAACACTGGGTCGCCCTGTGGCAGGTTACAAAAAATCTCAGAGGGAAACTCACAAAAACTCAGTATGAGTATGGGGACCGCTGCCCTACACGTGAGGCTGCATGTATTTGACTTACCAGACTGTCAACACCACCAAGTGTGTGATTGGCATTGTACAGCGAATAGGTCAACTGGTACACACCGTCGTTGGTCTCACTGTTGCCATAGAAACCTACACCCACTGCGACGCTGCGGAGAGAAGAGACACAGGTGAGATTAGGGTGAAACCAGAGGACAACATTCAAGGCATTGTTTCCTCTTCTGTCACTGACTGTGAACCTCTGTATCTTCAAATTGTCGACGTGTTCCCTTTAATGAAAGAGACAGAGCAGGAGTGAAAGAAGACAGAAGTGGACACGTGGAACTGTCCCTTTCAGAATAGAAAGATCAAGTTCAACTGTTGGGTCGGTGGCTCGGAGGACACTGAGGCCAGATCTCACTGTGAGACTCATTAAGCACTTCTTTCTATGAAACACTTTCACACTCCCCAGTTGAACTCCAACTGCTGAGGCTTTGTTTCATGTCTATAGTGTGAAAAGAGAAGTGAGTACATTAAAAAAACACACAGTTGCAAGTGGTCGTACTTTTCATAGACGTGTTTATGCAAACCTCGTAACGCAGCGGTCGAGAACAAACATGTTTCTGTAAACAACATTCTTGTTAGAACTATGTTCATCGGTGTGCAGAAGTTTGAGGATGCAGTCTGTTTATGGTCCTGATCCTGATTTCATATTCCCACACTCTCTTATTATCAACGATCTATTGTAAATAATTACTTTTCACATTTTAGAATTGATTCCATAATCAGCGTCAGGTTTAATTTCACCCCTCAGCCAACATACAGTACATGTACAGTATATGGTCGTTGACTGAATCAATACTTTCTGATGGTGTTAATAAAGAAAAACTCAAATGTTTTAAGACTTCCTATTCACTCCTCTAATAAACCATAAAACACTGTTACAACTTACTTCAGAACATTCTGTAAAAACTGAGGCTTGGCGGTGATACAGCCTATGGTGAGGATTTATTGTGACCTCTCACAGCTATGGTCGTTACGACAAGCGCGAAAGACGAAGTGGAGAGACAGCTGGAGAGCTGGCATTAATAAATGAGTAGACTGAAGTCTTGAGTTAGACTCCGGAGACTCATTTTAATGCTGGCTCACTTTTGAAAATTGATCATCATTTTCTCCTTTATCCCTGGCCATTTGGCAACCTCAGCCATAACTGGAAGGAGACACTTCTTTATTACTGATGTAATTATGATAATTTACTCATTATTAAAATGTAAGCAGTATTACTGATGAACTCTGTATATTGTGTATAATCCAGCAGAAAGGAATGATAATTTTCTCTGTTTATTCCAGGAAAACAGTGCTACACTCATTAACTGAAGCCTTCTAGGTAAATAAAGCTATTCTTATCAAACATCCATCAAAAAAGAGAAAGAGATACGTGAAAGGAGGAGGCATAAACTGAGTCATCACATGGGAAGGAGAAGAGAAACGACAGATACAGTCAGAATAAAAGAGGCAGACTGACAGTGAGTCAAGCCAACGTGGAGTTTGTCATTAGTTTGTCAAACAGAGAGGAGGACAGTGGTGGGAATACAGTCAGCCCAAGACATTAATAACATTAATTAACCAACCTTTGTATCCAAACGTATTAGCATAACATTAGCTACAATGGAAAACAAACTCAATGTGTCAAGACTGAGGTTCTCTTCTCCTCCTTTACTGGTGCTGATGAAGATGGACATGATGGTGTATTGGCCTCAGCCACTGTCACACGAAACCACAGTAAAACGAAC